CGTCCGTCTCTCTCCGAGGTCGCCGGGCGAATGCCGAAGTGATGACGTAGTCGTTATTGTCGCCGCGCGGCACGTTCCCCCACTCCTCGCTGTTCGCTTTGCGCCGTTTAAATATCCTACTCTACTGTTGCGAATAAAAAACATTCACGGTTTATTCATTTATTCATATTTTACATGATTTTGACAAAAGGGTATCGTCGTACATTTCGCGCTTTGCTATGTGGAATCTCTGGCACTGGTTTAATCCTATATTATTTGCGCTTTTTATATACGTAACTGATAATTATTCGCGTGTGTGAGGTATTTTTGATATTTAACGATACATTATGGCTCAATTTTCACTTTTAAAATATTTTAAATGATTCATACTTAAACAAAGGTTGATAATATTCTATACAAGTAATAAGTTAGAAGTATAGTTGTTTAAAATAATAAATACTAAATAACTCTTTTATCTTAAAATAAAACGTAAATGATAGAATTCAGCAATTTAAATATTATAAAAGAATAGCAAGACGTCAATCTTTTATTAAAAATATATTGTGTACACTGCACGGATTTTGTATAACATAAAATTCCCGGGAAAAATGTTTCACATATAATTATATGTAAGTACAAAATATGTCCATATAGATATATATATAATATATAATATTTTTTCCGGGTTATTATAAACTGATATAATCACTTATTGTAACACAATTAAACTAAGATGGTCGTGAGCTGCGTGAATGCGTAAAGCATCTAAGAAATAAAGTAGAAACCGTGTAATAAAGCCCCTATTGATCGGAGAACATTAAAAATATAAAGAATATATTATTTTACTTATTCGTAATATTCGTTATTATTTTACAAGCAGGCCGTGCCGTGTGCCGCTCTTCACATTTCTTGTTGAAATCGCGATAAATACATAATACGAATTGTCACACTTTAGATTCCAAAAACTTACATAAAATATTTAATAAGAAAAAGTCAGAAAAAGTTTTTTTAATCCTTAAAATTCAACGATTTTTATTTACATATGTAAGAGATGTGGAATTAAAATTTCATAAAAGATCGTTTAAGGACCCATTAAACTATCCCTTTTTCAAGTGTTGACCAATGAAATTATCAGTATTCTAGTAAATTCGCTCACTTTTGTAATTTTCACCTCGTTTCAAGATACTGACTCGATCTCCTGGCAACCCTAGTGATTACGCGCTTTTGTCTCCATTTCTCTCTACTGAAAATTTCTCTATAGATAGCGCTAACATTTTCATCTGCACTTGCAATGGCTGCAACCTGCACTGATCTGCACCACGTGTGTGCGTATGCAGAGAGGTGCTACAAACGCTTCGAAGCGTTCTTTGATTAGTCAATTCGTAAAATTCTTTGTTCTGATTGGTCGCTCAAACGCTTCGAAGCGTTTGTAGCGTCAGGTGGACCGCAGCCTTTAAAGGCCCGTCTACAATACACGGAGTAAGAAGTAAGAGTAAGAAATTGACCAATCACAGTCGATTATTCTTCTCTTCGACTGTGATTGGTCAATTTCTTACTCTTACTTCTTACTCCGTGTATTGTAGACGGGCCTTGAGTTGGATATGCCTGGAGGACCGGGAGTAAGCATTACTGTATTCTTGTTAGTTCATGATAAAGTTTAGTGAGGTTATCTAATCTAGCACGGTAGAGAACGTCGAGAAGGTACACAATAATATACAAACTGTTAAAATCATTGGCTGGTATAATGTAAATATAATGAAAATAAAACAATACGAAGAACAAAACTTTAATATTTCTAAAAAAGATAATTTAATTTATTGCAAAAATGTCCTAATTATAGATATTTTAAGTAGACATTAATGCTTGGTAATATTCTAATGGTAATTAATTTGGTATAATGTATAATTTATAATGTTTAATGTACAAATTTAATCTTTATCTTACAATTATGAAACTATTAAAACGAATGATAATTATCAGAGAGAGAAATCTAATTGTTGATTTGATTCTTCCCTTCTTCCTTCAGGATTACCTAACCTAGCCAAGTTTTCTTCATAACAAGGACCTCTCGATTTTGGATTAAAATGACAGCTATAAAAGTGCATGGTGGTATCGATATTTTAAGACTACCGGTAAATGAGGAGGAACATATTTGCCCTCCATGGCGTATCAAGTACACCCAATCTCATATACTCCATTCTAAATGTTCCAAAAGCGAGAATGGCTGCGGTACCGACGACACAAATGCCTGTCAATTTTGCGTGTATGTTGCTCGTTAATCATTATCTTAAAAATATTATAATATCAGAATTCTTAGAAATGCATTTCTTATCCTTACAGATATAATAATGCATTAGAATTGCCACATATGCCAGATATGGTGTTTCCTAATAATGTGTTATCTCTGAAGCATGAAGATGGAGCATTGCTGCAATTTAATGCTTTAGATGCTTTAAAATATGTTTCTAATGGAAAAATTAATGTGCAGCTTGCTTGTGCAGAAGCATGGAAAGAATCGAGGTATATATAATATAATTCTAAACTTAACGACCCGTATTCAGAATGTGCTTTTATCGATAAAAGCGTGCTTTTATTTCTGAAATTTTATAATTGTGTAACGTTAAGTATAATATGTTAGCACGCTAACATCATTGTATGTGTGTTTTGAATACAGGCCAATAAGTTTATGCAACAACTGTTGTTATAAATAATTTTAATTCATGTATATATCAACAGAGCAGAAAGTAGTGAATATTTAGAAGAAAAGATTAAACCTTTTGATTGGACATTTACTACTAATTATACTGGTACAATATCTGGTTTCAAAATCGAAGAAACAAATGAGAGAATTGATATAGATAAATTAAGACAGAGGGATAAGATTATGTTTTATCATGATTTAACATTGTTTGAAGATGAACTTCATGATAATGGCATTGCTGTTAATTCAGTCAAAATTGTAAGTTATCTCACATACTTCTAATAACATGCAGCAAAGTTAATCCTCTTAATTTTTTTGTGTAGAGAGTCATGCCTACCAGTTTTTTTATACTATTACGGTATTTTCTTAGAATCGATAATGTAATGCTAAGAATAAATGATACACGTATTTACCACGAATTTGGGAAAACTTATTTATTGCGTGAGTTTACATCACGAGAAGCTAAAGTTCAAGATATCCGTGTAAGTAATGCAACATAATGATATTATATTTTGTATCGAATTTTAAATGAAGATTAAGAGCATTTATTTGTTTAGTATGTTAAAGGTATATAAAAATGTAAGATGTAATTGATAATGTAATTCGCCCTTGTTCTTGAAGTTTTTGTGTAAGATGTAATATGTCGTTATTCTATTTAATTAACTTAGAATTGATAATAATTAAAGAAGACTTTCCAGCAAGGACACAATGTAACACGGTGGATCATTATAGCCTTGTTGTTTGTCAATGGTAAACAAGAATGAAATAATTCACTGTGTTACATTATGAATAGAGATGAGTGAACTATTTGAATACGAATCAAATTAAATAAGATTCGATTCAAATATGAATCACTGATCCGGACATAAACTATTCGAAAATTTCGAATGTAAAATACATATTAGGTGTTAAACTTAATTCCTGCTGTTTTTCGTCTCCAAAATTGATTTGTTTCGAAGGGAAATACCTTAATCAAAGTATTATTAATAAAGCATTATTAATTAGTAATAAAGGAGAAAATGGAGGAAATTACTTTGATTAAGGTATTCATTCATCTTCCCTTCGAAACAAATCAATTTTGGAGACGAAAAACGGCAGGAATTAAGTTTAACACCTAATATATTAATAATGCATATATACATTAGGTGTTGACCAATGAGATTATAAATATTCTAGTGAATTTGCTTACTTTTGTAATATTCACCTCATTTCAAGATACAAAATCAACTCCTAGATTCAATTCGGATTCGAAAAAAAAAATTATATTTAATTCAGAGTTAAAAAACCTTGATTCGCACATCTCTAATTGTCTATGTCCTTGCTGAAAAATGTCTATGGTCTGCAATTTTGACAAATGAATGGATGATGGGAACTAAAATGTATTATTCCCTCGTAAGGTTTCCCCGGCACTTTTCTTGGAACCAAGTACGATAGCACCTCATTTGCCATTAATTAGAAGTCGATATGACAAGCTTATGGTACCTGAAAAAGAAGAAGTTAAATTAAACGAAGATACAGCTGCACAAAATATGATTATGACTGAAACAAAATTAGTACATTCTGATGAACATACAGCAGACAGTTCTATTACTTAAATTTTGTGTTAAGATTTTAATGTTATACGACGTTATTTTTTCGATTGATGTAAAAAAATAATTGGAAATTGTATACATAGATTTTTGCTTCATTATTTGAATAAATATGATATTGAAAAGTGAAAACAATAAAATAATACTGTTTCTCAAATCAATATTAAGAATTCACAATTGATTTTAATCATGCTTGTCACTTTAGTATTATGTGTTTTTTTTCATTTGTTTTATAGTAAAAATTTCCCAAGTAAAACTGTTAACTTGTTTAACAATATTTTTTCATGAATGGAACTATACATATATACCAGTAATGAGAAGAACGATCTCTGACACAATCTTAGAATAACCTTAAGGACTAAAAATTACGTTTAAATAAAAATAAAATAGGGACAGCAAAACAGCGTTATGAAATTAAAAATATAGTTTATACTTCTATTTTAAAATAAATTTTAAAAAATATAATAGTACAGAAAAATTATTTTAAAATACAATATCAATATTTAAACAAAACATTGCAACTATTTTTATTATCTAATTTCATAAGATGCATTAAAATATAATTATGTTTTACTTCTTTGTTTCTTTTCTATTTAAGTATACGTCGTATTAAAATCTCAATTTTAGCCTGAAAGTAAGTGAACGATTTTTTTACTATCCTAAAATTTTTTGTCGAAAAGATAATGTCTCTTAACTAAAGTTGAATAAAAAAAAAACTAAAGTCGGATAGATCTCCCCATTGTTCCTTTCTATGGCTTGACCTTGAAAAGGTCAAATCTATTGCACATATCTGGCACACCAGAAAATCCTTTACGTTTCAGCTTGCTAATTCGAATTAGCGGGAAGTCTCTCATCGATACGATATTTTTTCATGTAAAAACATTTACACATTCATACGGTAAATCATTCAACCAATCAATAAGCTCTGGATTAAAAGGATATCTGTCTGGAGAATAAATATTGAAGAGACCACGGCTGGGCCTCGGGTAAGACTTTGATTAGATTTCAGGCGAAGGGCTTTGGCCCGACGTATTCCGCCATAAACACCATCGTGACCTCCTCAGTCCTCTTCTCCATCGACCAAGTAGAAAATAAATATCAAAGAGAATAGGAGCGAAGGAAGGAGAGATCGAGAGGGAGTTGACCGATCGTGGCTTTCGGGGTGGGCTGTCTTCCACCGTACGGTGGTGTTTATTCGCGGGCGCAAAAAACTTGGTTGAATTCCATCGCACGGGTCGACGGCGAGGGGAGCGAGAGGAGAGGAAGACGAGAGGAGGAAGGAGAGAAGGCGAGGCGAGCGGCAGCGCGAGGAAGAGGAGGCTGGAGGGAGGAGAAAGAGGAAGAAACGCAACAAGAGCAAGAAGCAAGGAGGTCGTCGACGACAGCAATCTCTCGTGAGTAGGCTTATCCCATTGCCTCCGTCCCACCTTATAGCGCTCTCACACGCTACCAGCGGGTGCGTAGGTGTTTCCGGCCGGCTGAAGAAGCACGGCCGTCTGCGCCCGTCGATCCAGAAGAGGACGGTCGAAGCGGGATAGAGAGACGAGAAGAAAGAGAAGTGGAGGACGAAGAGGAAAAGAGATGGAATGAAGTAATAGCGAGAGAATGGAAGAGCATAGAAGAGGAGAGTCTCCGAGAGAGCAAAGAAAAGAGAGAGAAGGATAACGAGAGGAGGGGAGGCAGAGAGAGAGAGAGAGAGAGAGAGAGAG